GAATAGATGGGGAAGGGGGTTAAAGTGGTTATTTTGAACCCCAAAGCCACATATACTATCCATAAATGTGACTCTTGATATTCTATTTTCTGGTTGAATATTGAAATTATATGTATACACACAGAGGCACATATACTTAAACACATTTCACACATAAGTGAGATAGCATAATGAAAATCCTTAAGGCTAAATGATACATTTTTCTCTAGGCATTGGCAACCATTTTAACCTTTCTTGTTTATAACAACTTATAGTTTCCTATTGATTTCTGTTACTCTTTTAAAAATGTGTTATCATGAAATATTGGGTCTCCAGTACGGGTTTAATTACCACTCAAGCAGCTCATCCTGAAGTGATTAATAAGCCACAAAAATAACCATTTCCTCTTCTCTCCATATAGCATTGGTATTTTTGGAAATTGGGTTGCCTGTGCCAAGTTTTATTTGTAGATAGAATGGGAATTGTTAAATGGTCTATCATCAGTTCACAAGAAACCTTTGTTCCTTTATAAAGAGCAAACCAGATAACTAATTCCATTTAGAGTTTTCAATAACTTCTTGTACTCTTCAGGCAGCCACACAAATCATGGAATTGCTTCAGATACTCAGCAGAAGTTTGTTGCTGAGAAAACCACAGGAACCTGGTTTTCTGTTCTCTTTCCTTTTTTATTTTTTTTGACTAGACATGGCTTTTAATAAATTAATGAGGATTTTTATGAAAATGACTACTTGAAAATATGTTATAATAAATGAGGATTTTTTATTGTAGCCCAAGAAATAATTTGAATGTTTATCAGTAGTGGAATAATTGGATAAATTGAGATATGTTCTTATTTTGGAATGTTACATAGTTAATACCAAATGAGAATGATCAAGGTATAGTGGTTTAGAGAGCATGATATAGGCAATGTAAAAATATTAATGGCTATGCTTACTTGTTATAGTTATATATAAAAAAGGTACAAAATGATAGTTCTTAAAGATATTAAAGCTGGATAAGGGTAGGCAAGACAGGTAAAGGTGGGATGTTTATAATACAGAAGAGAATTCAGAAATAGGCTCATACATGTGCTAATTTAGGATAGAATAAAAGTGGCATTTCAGAGGAATGAGGGAAGCCTGGATTATTTAATAAATGGTATTGGAACAGTTGTCCGACTAGGTATTTGGGGGGGGGGGGAAGAAGCTATTTCCCTTCTTTACTCCTTTTATCAGAATGACTTGCAGATCAAATATTTAAAACTTTTAACATAATGAAGTCATGCACGTTCTAGAAGGAAACATTATTCATTTGTTTTTTAATTTGAAGTGAGGAAGACCTAAGTATGACCCCAAATCCAGAAATAATTAAGGAAGGATACATTTGCCTATGCCATATTGTTTTTAAGGCTTGAGAACTGGATAAATCTTGAAAGTATGTGTGGGCAACATGACATTAAAAGTTTATTGATACCACTTTTCAAGCATTTGGACTAAGACAGAATTATACTGACCAAAAAGGCCATTACGTGTGTTTTTAGCAACAGTAATTGTCATTGTGGAACATTTAAATAGATGATATTTAATTTACTATTGAATGTTTGCACATGTATGTTTAAACCATAATTTGTATATTGTTACTTCAAGTGAATGAATGAAATATAACAAATCAAACAGATGGTGATAAAGTATGTAAGAAACTGGACAGGTATAGTTTACCGCTGGGCTACAGGGCTAGAACATGATGATGTAGGTCAACCTCATTTTATGCTGTTTTTACCTTTATAATATGAATGTGTTGTTTTTATTTAGAAAAACTTTATCTTGTATTTTTTTCCCATTACCATTTAGTCCCCTTATACCCCCCTCACCCCAGTAATCACAGTGTTATCCATGAGTCCTTTTTCCTTTTTGCTCAATCCTTCCACCCCCTAACCTCCCCTGCCTCTGCTAGCTGTCATCCTGCTCTCTATCTATGAGTCTGTCCCTATTTTCCTTGTTAGTTTAGTTTGTTCATTAGATCCCACATATGAGTGAAATTATACAAGATTTGTCTTTCTCTGACTGGCTGGTTTCACTTAGCATAATGTTCTCCAGGTCCATCCATGCTGTAGCAAAGAGTAAAATTTTTCGTCTTTTTCACAGCTGGGTAGTATTCCATTGTGTGAATGTCTCATAGTTTTATCCACTCCTTATTGCAGGACACGTGGGCTGCTTCCATATCTTGGTAATTATAAATAACACTGCAATGAACATAGGGATGCTTATGTTCTTTCAAATTAGTGTTTTGTGTTCCTTTGGATATATTCCCAGAAGTGGGATTGCTGGGTCAAAAGGCAGATTCATTTTTAATTTGTTGAGGTATCTCCATACTGCTTTCCACAGTGGCTAGGCTACACCAATCTGCATTCCCACCAACAGTACAGAAGGGTTCCCCTTTCTTCACATCCTTGCCAGCACTTGTTTGTTGGTTTATTAATGATAGCCATTCTGACAGGTGTGAGATGATATCTCATTGTGGTTTTAATTTATATTTCTCTGATGATTAGTGACATTGAGCATCTTTTTATATGTCTGCTTATTGGCCATCTGTATGTTGTCTTTGGAAAAGCAGCTATTCAGGTCCTCTGCCCATTTTTGTTTTCAGTTGGATTGTTTATTTTTTTGCTGTTGACTTTTATTAAATTCTTTATAAATTTTGGATATAAACCCCTTATCAGATGTATCAGCAAATATGTTCTCCCATTCAGTGGGTTGTCTTTTTATTTTATTGGCGGTTTCCTTTGCTGTGCAAAAACATTTTAGTTTGATGAAGTCCCAGTTGTTTATTTTTTTCTTTTGTTTCCTTGCTCGGGGAAGTATATCTAATGAAAAATTGCTGTGAGCAATGTCTGAGATTTTGCTACATACGTTTTCTTCTAGGACTTTTTTTTTTTTTTTTGGTTTTGGATTTAACATTTAAATCTTTTATTTATTTTGAATTTATTGTTGTGTGTGGCATAAGAAAGTGGTCTAGTTTCCTTTTTCTGCACATATCTGTCCAATTTTCCAAACACCATTTATTAAATAAACTTATCTTTAGCCTATTGTATGTGCTTGCTTCCTCAGTCAAATATTATATGACTATAAAGGTGTGGTTTTATTTATGGGCTCCCTGTTCTGTCCCATTGATCTATGTGTCTGTTTTTATGCCAGTACCATGCTCTTTTGATTAGTATGGCCTTGTAGTATAGTTTGATATTAGGTAATGTGATTCCTCCAACTTTGCTCTTATTTCTCAGGATCGCTGTTGCTATGCGGGGCCTTTTATCATTCCATATACATTTTTGAAATATTTGCTCTAGTTCTGTGAAGTACGTCATTGGAATCTTGATAGGAATTGCTTTGATACTAGGTAGTGCAATTCCTCCAACTTTGTTCTGATTTCTCAGGAACGCTGTTGCTATGCGGGGCCTTTTATCGTTCCATATACATTTTTGAAATATTTGCTCTAGTTCTGTGAAGTACGTCATTGGAATCTTGATAGGAATTGCTTTGATACTAGGTAGTGCAATTCCTCCAACTTTGTTCTGATTTCTCAGGAACGCTGTTGCTATGCGGGGCCTTTTATCGTTCCATATACATTTTTGAAATATTTGCTCTACTTCTGTGAAATATGTCATTGGAATCTTGATAGGAATTGCTTTGATACTAGGTAGTGCAATTCCTCCAATTTTGCTCTTGTTTCTCAGGATCACTGTTGCTATATTGGGCCCTTTGTGGTTCCATATAAACTTTTGAAATATTTGTTCTAGTTCTATGAGATACATTATTGGAATCCAATAGGAAATGTATTGAATCTATAGATTGCTTTGGGAGAAAAGTTTATTTTCTTTTTTTAGTCATTGAAAAGAAATAGAATTTGGCATTTCTGAAAGATAACGCCACATAACATAGCCTGGCTATTACCTCGTGGTTTCAGTGAGTTACCCACTGGGGGAGAAAAAACAAGGGAGTAAAACTGTCACTGAATTGCAGTACATATGTAATGGTGTGGCACAAATGCATTTGTAGTTTGTGTGTCACACACATGGTACTGGGGATTCTCATCCGACAAAGGGAACTAACAGTGTTTTTTCATTGCCTCTTTGGAAGCTGCACATAACTAGTTTTTGAAAAATATGTGTCATTTTAGGAAAGTTTTATTTTAAATCCAAAACATTTGATTCTTACAGAGTACTCATTTTATTTAGTAATACTTCCAATTTCAGATTTGTCATAGTGTAGAATGCAAAATTTATGTAAGTTATTATAATAGCCATCAGAGAAGGTGTGGAGGGCCACCTCTGTGAGTACCTGTGTTCCCCCAGGCGACATCTTTCAGATTTCTCTGGTCGGAAACTTTGAGAAACCCTGCCCTAAATAAATATGAACAGGTGGCAGAAGTTTGTAGTCATTCTAACACTTTATTTGGGTTTTGAGTTCTGAAGCTACAGAGTGGAAGGAAGTAGATTTCATAAAAGGCAAATGTTATTAGCTCATTTTGGCCCACTAAAATGCACGTTTGATTATGTACTGTATTTTGCCATGTATAATGCACATTTTTTGCCCAAATTTTTGAGGGGGAAATAAGGATGCACATTATATGTGGATAGTATATGAAGTAACTTGTATCTATTCTTGTGTTTTGTAATTGTTTGTTACAGAAAATTTCTTGTACCATAATACGTTAAAAAATAAATGCTAAAATTCCTTTATAATATAAAAGTAAATATGTAAATATAAATAAATAAAAATTGAATTAAAAAACTAAAACGAAAGATTTTTTTCCTGAAAGTTTGGGCCAAAAACATGGGTGCATATTATACAGGGCAAAATACAGTACTTAGAATTTTTACTGAATTCAGTAAACTCCTGAGTTGGTAGACACCTTAGTCATTAAAATTTTAATCCAATTAAAGCTAAGGAAAGTAAACAAATTAATAGTAGTCAAACTTACTTTGATTTCCTCATTTCTATTTTCTCCCTTTTTCCTTTTCCCAGGTCACAGTAATGAAAGGCAGTAGTAGAAATAAAGATCATTCAACAGAAGGAGAAGGGGCTGGAAAACGACCCAAAAGAAAGTGTCTTCAGTGGCATCCATTGCTCGCAAAAAATCTCGTTGACTTTTTAGAAGAGGAGGAAGACGAAGAGGAAGAGGAGGATATTGATAAGGTAATTCCTCCATTTGTTATATAAGTTTAAAGGTTTTTTTGAGCATTCATTCAGTGAACACCTATAGTATAAAAGATATGCTTCTAAAGTCTGTGTAATTTGAATCCTGTTTAACTACTTAATCTACATTTTTATTCCAAAAGTTGATGATTCTTAAAGTGTCTGTACTTCCTAATAGTTTAGACTGAAACAGAGCTTTCTTAAATAGTATTTTCATCAATTAACTAATAATTTGATGGTAATGTTGAGATGCAGTGGAGATGGGGGTTTCATAAAATTTGGTGTGCTCACCTGGCAGCCAACCTGTTGCTCCTCTGGCCTCTTTCTTTGCTTCTAGCCTAGCCCGGCCACTGCAGGCAGTCCCACGGCTGTTGAGTCCTCATCTCTGTGGCATCTGGCTGCTCTCACCCCATCAGGCCGCTGTGGCAGTCAGTCTTCCATGTCCCTTTCTCTGGACTCACACGTGAGCAGCCAGCTTTTGTTTGGAAAGTCACACAACCATGCAGGTGACTTTAGAAAGCCACATATTCCTCCAGGTCTTGGCATAACTCCTCATCATTAAGGGCTATGTCCCCAACAGATGGGACTCCTCATTTCAGGTGTTCCTCCCACCCAATTCATTCCAAGTCAGAGGATTTCCTTCGTAGCACTTGTTACTATTTGCCTTGTGTTTAACCATGTCCTTGTTTATGTCTGTTTTTCTCAACTGGAATATAAGCTCAATAAGAGCAGGGGTCTTGCCCCTCTTTATGCTCCTGTCCTTTCTTAGAACTTGGAATGGTGCCTGGCACAGAATAAGTATTGAACAGATATATGCTCAGTGGAAGAATAAATGACTACATATTTTGTGTTACTATGAATTTTATAAACACATTTTTAGTATTCTTCAGGCCTTTGACATCCTTTTATTCTTTTGCTCTTAGCTTGTGTTGGCTCCCTTTTCACTGTCTCAGCTGGTATTGTAAACATTTTTCCTGTTTTCTCAAGACACATTCTCTAGATACATTTTACAGTTTCTCTCACTCTTGCCCTTTTTTCCTCTTTCATAGAGAAATTAAAAATGACTTCTTGAGTTTCCTCTCCTTTACTCACCTGTACACTTTTCTTCTTACTCATCTTTTCCTCCTTCTTTCCTTGTTCAGAGAAATAGGTGTTACTCCTTCTTTTTGAGGACATTGCAAAGTTATACTTACTTTGATCTTTCTGACACATTTGCACCTGTTGATCACTTGCTTCTTGAAACTGTGTCTATATGTATGATATCACTCATTTCTATTTCTTCCCAAATAAATTTGCCTAGTTTCTTTCAGTTGATGCTCCTCCATTACTCTACCCTCCAGTGTTGATTTCTTCTGGGCCTCTTATTTTAATTTCTGGACTTGAATTTCTGACTATTTACTTGACACATCCAGTTAGATATGACATAAGAATTTCAGTTTGATTTTTTTTTTTTTAATGTAGTTCAGTTTGATTTTAGTTACAAACAACACTGGATAGTATTTTACTACTGAAGAAAATCGTCAAAAGGCAAATAATGAAAAAATAGTAAACCATTAAATAAATGCTGTAGAAGGAATTTGTAAATATTCTACACATGTAAAATATGTAAAACTGAGTTATTTTTTATTAAATGTATTGTAAAACAAAACAAAACAAAAAAAGAATCTGAGTTTGAATGTGTTCAAAATGAAGCCTTTTTCTCTCTCCTCCAAACCCCGTTCTCCTGCATCGTCCCTTTCTCAGTAAGTGGCAGCTCCTATTTTCAGGTTGCTTCCCCCGGAAACCTTGTCTGTTTTCTTTTGTACAAATTCCATATTAGTTCACCCAGCAGCAAATTATCAGCTATGCTTTCAAAATATGTCCTCAGTTTGACCATTTCCCAGCAACTTCACTACTACTGACTGACTCCAAGCTGCCACCATATCTGGTGCATATTATTCTCTGTCTCACTCTGCCTCTGCTCTTGTCCTTCTGCAGTCTGTTTTCAACAAAGCAGCCAGAAGCATCCTTTCAGGGTGGAAGGCTGGTTGCACTGCTCTTCTGCCTCCGGAAGGCAGGAAATTCCTATGCTCACTGCTCTACGTACATCATCTACAACAGTGCCTGGTCTCTGCTGAGAGCGACTTCAAATTCAGCCTGTCAATACTGATCTTTCTGCTGTGTGCCAGATCTAATTGCTTTCATTTGAGAAAACGTATTCTTTGTTTTGTATGAAGGAGTCTTGCCACTGAAGCTAGAAACAGCCTTCCTTTTTCAAACTTTACATCCAATTAGATACCTCTTACCTCACCTTATAAATAAAGATTGTCTTTGTTCACATTATCCATTCTCATTGTTGCTGCCTTGACTCAGCACTGTTCCCTTTTTTGTCTGGACAGCTGGAATAAACTTTTATCTGCTCTCTCTAGTTTTGGTTACTTCTAGTTTTGCTGTTATAATTCATGCTTTACACTAATGACAAGATTTGTCTTAAGATACAAATCTAACAATGTCTCACCTGTGGTTTTAAGCAGGCTTTCCATGTCCTAGTCTAGTACTAATGTTGATTTGTTACCAAGTATTACAGTACTGAGCCCCTGGTGAAAGAAAAATAAATTCAGATAGTTTTTCATTTTTATTTAATTTTATTTATTTAATCACATATTTATTTCCATATTCATCTTTTTGGTTAGTTAGTATTACTAGATAGTAGTTAAAAACATATTTTTGATGTCTGTACTTGACAAAATAAAAAGTTGGCCATCTGTGTTGGACCCCCAAAGTTTCTTATTAGTCTGTACAATCTGAAACTAACTTTCAAACAAGTAGTTGGCAAACTTATTTACATGATTAAAAGCATGTTTGGGGTTTCTTTTTTTGAGGTGATAGAACACGTTCTTCATGAAGTGGCTTCTCCCTTCTACTTCTCATGTCCGTGGTCTAATCTTTTACATATCACTGCTATTGAACTGCATATTGATATTTGAATAAACCATCCAGCCTTAATCCCTGTTAGTTCCTCCATGTCTCCCCATTGACTACCTGGAACTCCAATTCATCTTCCAGAATTTAGCTCAGACAACAACTTTTCTAGGGAGACTTCCGTGTGCTTCTACACATCTAATAGAGCTTTATTATTTCACTGGTTCCCTGTTGCAGTCAGCATACTGCTTTTTAATTTATTTGTATATATGTCTTTCTCCTCCCCAAACAGTGAGCTCCTTGGGTCAGGATTTTATGTTATTTATCTCTTTCCAGCTCTTGGCTTGAATTTTATAATTTAGCAACTGCATCAAAAATTAGTCTGTTGTGAAGGGAAATGTATTTACTTCCTCAGCCTATATCCTACATATTTGTCTGCTTATTTTCCTTTAGCTTCTTCTCACTTTGAGAATGCTAAATAAGTGTTCCTTGAAAATGCAAATTATTGCTAATAGTTGTATACATAATAAGAAAAATAAACCTATATAGCCTTTAATCCATTAATAATCCCTAATGTATTTCCAAATCAGATAGCTATGATTACAAGTTTGTGCTGTATTATTGGTGTTTGAAGATAACTGATGGTTAATTAAATGCATTTGCAATACTTAATTTAAACTTGAAGGCTTTTTAAAAAAATACCAAATTAGATTAAGCTAGCGATTTGCCCTAGAGTATCTTATCTGTAACAGTTGCCCAATAAACATGATATAAAAGAACATGGTTGCCTTTATAATAGTGGTTCTCAAAGTGTGATTTTTATACCAGCAGCACAAGCATCAGCTGGGACTGTGTTAGAAGTACTAATTCTTAAGCCCAGACCCAGATCTTCAGAATCAGAAACTCTGGGAATGGGACTGAACAATCCATTTTAACAAGGCGTTTAGGGATTTCAATGCCCACCCAAGTTTGAGAACTACTGACCTACTATATAAAGCAGACTCACAACAACCTCAGTCCTTCCTGATTTTAACTATGAAACAGGAAATTAAAGAAATGCTTTTAGTAAGCATTATGGACTTCTGTTTACAGTTGCATTGTTTCTAAGAAAGAAGTGTAAAATCATACTTGAGCATTAGAAGATATTTAATAATCTTAATATATTCTGAGATTCTGTAATCAAAGATGTGTTTTAAGGAATTTAACCTTTAGCCATGTGCAAAAAGTATTTGTAAGAGACCAAAAGCAGAAATACCAGGCCATAGGCAAGAGTGGCACTGGGACAGCAGCAATGAGACTTATACAGATGGAATGGAGAGGACCAGGGAGCACTGTCCAGTCCTTGAAGACCTTCAGTTGAATGAAATGCTTAGAAAAAGGGAGGATTCAGAACTGATTTTGAGGGTTTGGGCCTGGACGAGTTTATTTTTATCACTGTAGCATTTCACTAGACAGGAGAGCTTCATACTTACAAGCTCGAAAATTTACAATGTAGTTCTTCCTTCCTTCAATGTTAAATTTCTATTTTGATTGTTACAGTAGAAGGCTATCTACTTGTGATATACACAAAAACATTACATGGTGTTAGAATTTATTATCTATCTTCATGTGAAACATTTCTATATTATTAGCTATAAAAAGCACTTTACAAAGAAGAGAAAGACAGCTGTTAATATTTGTGTACTCTGTGTGAATATTGTTAATAATCTTGAAACCCATATACTACAATGGGTTTATTCATTCATTCAACAGTTAAATACTAATGCTCCACCAGACATTGAGCTAGGTATGCTATGTAAGGAAAAAAATGTAAGCAATTATAACACAATGTAATGTACTATAATAGCATATATGCACAGGTTGTTATAAAAACTAGGCAGAAGAATACACCATAAGTTGTTTACCAACCCCTAACAGTGGTTGATAATTTTGAAAAAATAATTTTTTTTATCAATTTTAAATTGTTTAAATGGAGCTAAGGAAAAAATACAATTTGAGCTGTGGCTGGTGAGTCTTGGTTGGGCATCATCCGGCAAAGCAAAATATCACTGGTTGGATTACCAGTCAGGGCACAGTCCTGGGTGACAGGTTCAGTCCTTGGTCTCCCCAGTTGGTGTGCACATGCAGAAGGCAACCAATTGGGAGTTCTGGCCAAGACGGAGGCATAAGTAGAAACCCTTCACTTCCTCACACAACCAAAAGAAAGATAACAAACAATCTAAAAACAATAAACAGCCAGAAGTACCAGAAAATCAAACTGCATGGAACTCTGACAACCAAGGAATTAAAGAAACGTTTACCCAGACCAGTAGAAGGATGGAGAAAGGCAGCCAGGTGGGCAGAGAGGACCTGCAGCAAGGTGGCGGACTACATGGGCAAGGCAGGGCCAGCTGAATGGGAAACTAAGACTCAAAGCTAGCAGTAAACTATGGCAGGGGTTGCCACGGTGGGAGAAACTCCCAGTCCCACATGAGAGAGTTCATTGGAAAGTAGAGGTAGAGCCAAACAAGTAGCTACATTGTTCCCTCTCTGACCCCTCTCCCATAGACAGTGCCACAATGCAGCAGCAAAGAGGGTTGCCTCACCAGGTGAATTCCTAAGGTCTTGCCCACCCCCCCTCCCAACATAACAGACACACTGAGACAAAAGAATATGGCCAAAATGAAAGAATAGATAGAGCTCCAGAAAAAAAAAATACAACTAAGCGATGGAGAGAGAGCCAATCTATCAGATGTAGAGTTCAAAACACTGGTAATCAGGATGCTCACATAAATGGTTGAGTATGTTTGTAAAATAGAGGAAAGTGAAGGCTATGAAAGTGAAATAAAGGAAAATGTACAGGAACCAACAGTGAAGGGAAGGAAACTGGGACTCAAATCAATGGTTTTGAGCAGAAAGAAGAAATAAACATTCAACCAGAACAGAATAAAGAAACAAGAATTCAAAAATTGAGGACAGGCTTAAGAACCTCTAGGACAACTTTAAATGTTCCAACATCCAAATCATAGGAGTGCCAGAAGAAGAAGAGGAAGAGCAAGAAATTGAAAACTTATTTGAAAACATAATGGAGAACTTTTCCAATCTGGCAAAGGAAATAGACTTCCAGGAAGTCCAGGAACCTTAGAGAATCCCAAAGAATTTGGACCCAAGGAAGCACACACCAAGGCACATCATCATTACATTACCCAAGATTAAAGAGAAGAAAAGAATCTTAAAAGTAGCAAGAGGAAAGGAGAGAGTTACCTACAAAGGAGTTCCCATAAGACCACCAGCTGATTTCTGATAAGAAACATTGCACATAAGAAGGGGCTGGAAAGAAGTATTTGAAGTCATGAAAGGCAAGGAGCTACGTCTAAGATATTCTGTCCAGCAAAGCTATCATTTAGAATGGAAGGGCAGATAAAGTTCTTCCCAGATAAGGTCAGCATCTGAGTTCATCATCACCAAGTCCTTATTATATGAAATGTTAAAGGGACTTATCTAAGAAAAAGAATAAGATCAAAACGATGAACAGTAAAATCACAACAAACTCATAACTATTAACAACTGAACCTAAAAACAACAACAACAAAAGAACTGAAGAGGAAAGCCAAGCAAACAACTAGAACAGGAACAGAATCAGAGAAACGGAGATCACATGGAGGGTTTTCAGTGGGGAGGTGGAGGGGAAGAATATGGGGGAAAGGTACAGGGAATAAGAAGCATAATTGGTGGGTATAAAATAGACGGGGAGAGGTTAAGAATGATATAGGAAACAGAAGTCAAAGAACTTCTATGTACAAGCCATGGACATGAACCAGTGGTGGGGGTAATGGTGGAGGGTTGGAGGGTGCAGGGTGGAGAGGGGATAAAGGGGGGAAAATTGGAAAAACTATAATAGCATAATCAATAAAATATACTTTTAAAAAAAGAAGACAACCAATTGATGTTTTTCTTTCACATTGATACTTCCCTCCCTCTCTTTCTCCTTCCCTTCCCTTCTCTCTAAAATCAAAAATAAATAAGGAAATAAATACACAAATCTGATATATCCCTTCCATGCCTGAAACTCTTTAAAAAATACAATTTGAAAACCAAGACTAATTATTAAAGGAAAATTGCCCAGCATGTATTAAGCATCTGGCTTTTGTTTTGGTTGGTAATAGGTACAACTTCTTGGGGCTGATGGCCTAGAGCAAGATGTTGGTGAGGCTGAAGATGATGAATCACCAGAACAGCGAGCCCGGAGACCAATGAATGCATTTCTCTTATTTTGCAAACGCCATCGCTCCCTTGTACGTCAGAAACACCCCAGGCTTGATAACCGAGGTGCTACCAAGATACTAGCTGATTGGTGGGCTGTTCTTGATCCAGAGGAGAAACAGAAATACACAGACATGGCCAAGGAGGTAGGTTCCAGTGACAAGGTTTTTATGGTAGACGTGAGCAATCAATCCTGTAACTTCCAGTAAGCAAACAGGGAATTCCCACTGAAGGCCAGCAGCAGAAAGGTGAATTCTGAATTAGGTGTTAAGTAAAAACATAAGAGGCTTATTCCTATTTCTGAGTTCTGAGTTCACTTTCCAAACACTGGTAGAGTGCCAGGAGCAGTATATTACCAAGAGGTTTTTGTCTCATTGTACATACTCCACTGATTGTTAGAAGCAGTTGATTTTTATGAATGGTGATTTATTTATTATGATTTTGTTCCTAAATAGTTTTTCTGGGAACTCAGCTTCTGTTGTCAGAAAATGCCTGTAGTAAAAAATGGCAGACTTAGGTTACTCTAGCTGTATCATGGGAAAGAGTTTTGATCTAGTTCTGATGCTAAAGAGCTTTGTGATGGTATCTAGGTCAATGTCCGGGTCTCAGCTTTCTTCATTTTTTTATATTAGAATGAGGAAGTTAGATAAAAATTTGTATCCCTTACAGCTCTAACAGTTTTTGGTTTTGTAATATACACAGTTATCAAGAAATATGCTTTGATTCCTGTTTTGTTGGTAATGCAGCAAATGTAACTTCCAATAAGCAAACAGGAATATTCATAAGCAAATGAATATTTGAAACTAGTAAATGACAGTGGAATAGGATGTTTTGTGATATGTGCATGTATGTTAATACTGTGTAGGCAGTAGTTGGTGAGAGATATTTCCATGCAGGAGGGCTATTCAGAAAGATAGGACATTAATCCTAAAATGATAGCAATGACTAAATTTCTTCAAAAATTGTATACTGCCCTGTTTCTAAATTAATCTGAAATTAATGAGCTCATTGGATATTTAAAATATGTAGAGACTTTATTTATTTAAAAGATTTTATTTATTTTTAGAAAGAGAAGAAGGGAGGGAAAAGGAGAGAGAAGCATCCATAGGTTGCCTCTTTTATTCATTCATGTATTTCTTTCAGAGAGAGGGGAAGGGAGAGAGAGAGAGAGAGAGAAACATCAGTCAGTTGCCTTTTGCACGCCCCCCCAATTGGGGACCTTGCCCATAACCCAGGCATGTGTCCTGACAGAGAATCGAACTGGCGACCTTTTGGTTTGTGGGATGACACCCAACCCACTGAGCCACACCAGTCAGGATATAAAATATATAGTGTAATGGATTTATCAATTAAGGAGAAAGCAAAGCAATATCATTGTGGTTAAACCTGAAAGGACTAGTTCTAACTTTATTTCTTCAGTGTTGCCACTTGTAAATGTTGCCACTTACAAAAAATCTTGATTTATTAAAACCCTACCACCCAAGCATTTGTTAAATTCTGAGAAAAGATGAACCAGCAGGGGACAAAATACAGAGTTTCAGGTGACAGATATTATTAGGCCTTTCAGTGGAAGGCTAATATTTTTCAGTGTGGAAAAATATAAATGTTTTAAGTGATGTGGTTTTATTGAGTTGTTTAACAAGCTAACATGGAACATAAAAATTTTTTGCCAATGTTCAGGGTAATTTGAATCCAGAGTAAATGATTAGCCTAGTTGCTATGTAATTAATGCTCACATAAGGCTCAGGAATTGACCACTGTTAAAGAACAGGATTTTTACTATGTAGAGAATCTGGAAAATTTAAAATCATTTCTAGTAACCTACATGATTTTAAATGTTTCAGTAGATTCTCACTAGCATAACAGTAATTAACAGTAAAACTTTCTCATTAAATAGCTTTAGATCTTTTCATAGTCATGCTTATATGGTAAAATAAACAATTATCTGAAGCCTCATAGGGAACTCCATTAGCTTCCTATAATTAAACAATCAAGTTTGTTTTGGGATTGCTGTTTTTGGATAACAAGCAGCCTGTACCAAGTTTGTATATTGTTTGCCATTTCTTAAATACTGCTAATTTACAAACCCAACAAGACCACTTGAGGAATATTATTTTCATACAGGAAATCCCTTACTAATTACTTAATTAGGGTCACAATATTTGCCAGAGTGGTGCTGTAATGAAATTTGTTAAGGTGGCCTCCTGCAGTCTGCTTCAAGTGGAGACGGTAGATGGATCTTCACTTTGCATCTGGCCTTGTTTACGTATGTTACTATGAAATGTTGCCTTATTCCTAGCGCACAGTGTGGAAGATTCAGCTACTTCCAAAGTCAGTTGGTTTCTAGTTATAAGCAATACTTCTCAAAATTTACTTACTTAAATGGGTTTGAAATTACATTAAAGTTCAGGTAATTGTTTTGTTGCTTTTTTGTATTAATATTGCGACCTTAATTGAAATGTCAGTTTACTAAACAAAAACTTACTGAGTTGCTTCAAGGTACCAGGGCCTGTGGTGGTTGCTAGTGATGAATATGTTCTCAGTTCCTCAAGATCCCTCTCAGGCAGTCATTTTAAAAACTGTTTTCTTTGAAAGTTTTTAATTTTAAACCCCCAAATTTAAAATGCATTCTCTGTTAGGACAAGACATATTCTTTCAGCAGAGCTGAGTGTGAATGTGAATGCTTATGTGATATTCTATATCTATTCAATATCTATTCTGTCATTATCAATTGAGTGAGAAATACTTAATTTTTTCTTTTTTGTTTTTAAAAGAAACATTCTAAAAACAGCAGTGAGTAATAATGCAACCTTAGAGAGATTCTCTTTTAGCTGCAAAAACTTTAACTCTTTTATTGCTTCTGATTATCTTCTATTAGTGCATCTAATGAGAGGAAGCATCCATTCTGGGGTTTGTTTTCCATTTCTTGAATTATCGCCCAATACTAATTTGCATTGTTGGAAAAAATGATTGAATGAGAGCTTCATGTTCTCTGATGAATCTCATTAGAGCACCTAATTGGTTGTAAGTAATGTAAAAATGCCATCCTAAGAATATCACCTGGGTAGCTGTCTGAACTTCAGCAATGTGCATGGTGGTGCAGTGTTGTGGCTGTTCACAGGTTCCAATTTCTGACTGTGACTGTCCATTAGGAGATGCAGAAATAATATTACTTTTCCTTTTAACATATTTATGTATGTACTCTTACAAGTATAGCAATACAAGTCTGCCTTATTGCCAAATAAGGCTGGAACCTTCCACTATTCACTTAAAGTAATGATTATAGTTAATTCACAATCAGTTTAGAGGATCAATATCTTGACTTTCATGTTGAGCAGAGTCAGTGCAAAGAAGAGAGGAGAATCTGGAAAGCTAAGGCAGTTTTGAATGACCTTTCTAATACCTTCTCCCTTTTTGTGTGTAGAATCAGAGGCATGAGGCTGAAGGCCTGCATTTGTTGATTGATGGGCTCATTCTGGACTTAATATTTTACATAAGCACAGGCATGCAAAGTCAGTTGTGATTGTCCCCATTCTTCAGAGCAGGGATCTCAGGCTCTTTGGATTTAGTACCTTGACCATTCATACATTTGCGGGGATGGAGTACTCTTTGCCTGTTTAACTTTGGTACCCTTTTACTACTATCTGCTGCTCACTTTAGATGATGGAGAAAGAGATAAGTGGATTTGAGTTAAATATAGCAAAATGGTAATTACAAAATGTCATGGGTCCTGGGGGAAGAGTCTACCTGTGCTAGGGGTGGGTATTAAGTGGGGGTATGTCAGAAGAGGCTTTATGAACTTGATAGAAGCTGACCTGGGCTTTGGTATAGGATTCAGAGACAAAGACAAGGGATAAGACCAGAAGTGGGAAAGTAAAAACAAGTTCAAGAACAGTAAGGTTCGTTTTGCGCCAAACCTAGGGTATGTGTAGGAGTAAAAGAAATGATGATATTAAGGAAAAATTATGAAACCATGCTGCCAAGTTTGGAGGTTCATTTGTATGCCAATAAAACAATTATGGAAAAATGCAATAAAATGTAACTTGAATGTAAACTATTAAAGGCTTTTGTAAATGTTGCTGTCTGTTGTTGTCAGTAATCTAGGAAACACTGTCATCAACATGCAGCTCTGTGGAGTTTTTAGTGGTTGGTTCTTCCTCCATATTTCAAGAAAAAAAAATAGCCAGTTTTTGCTTATTCATTTACAATTGGGATACTTTGTATAAAGACCATTCATTCCCTTGTGGACAGAAATGGATTCCTGTGGCTATTATTACACAGAGAGGAGCACCTCGTTTATCCAGCATCCATGAGAACCTGTTATACATAGTGATTTCTGCAAAGGAGAAATTCACCATTCCATTAAACACTTTTTATTTTATATATTTACCCTGGAAGTTTTTTTAAATTTTGTTTTTATTCCTTCTTACTTAGTAATCAGAATGCCTTTCAAATTTTTGACAATTTTAACTTACTGTTTGCAAACAAGAATTATTTTATAATCCATAATTTGGTAAGACCTTTGTGAATAGTTGCATTTTTTATTTCAACTCATTATTTACAAACAAGAATTACTTTATAATCTGTAATTTGGTGAGACCTTCGTGAATAATTACAATTTATTCACATTTTTGTGTATTTGATGATTCTCAACTATGTTGTTCTTTTGAATTTCCTCTTTGCTTTCACATGGGTCTGTCTGTGGGATCTACTCTCCCTTGTCAATTGACATTTCTCTCCTCTGTCAGTTACTTTTGGCCACCACTGATGAAATGACGTATTGTTTATGGGGTTTTCTGAATGTGGCTTCATTAGGGGCTCCATCACTTTGGGAGGATGTGGATAATAAAATGAAAGATTTCGACTCCATGTTTCACAATATTCCTTGTTCCTGAGACTTTTCCCATTCCTGTATTTCAGATATTAGTACTTTCCTACTGTATTAAAAACAGTATTTTAGCATTTGTATTTCAGATGATAATAGTTAATTTCTGAATATTATACTATCCCATCCAAGGTTCTTTTATGAAATTTAACTCAGTCCTCAAGTGAATCCCACAAGGGTGATATTATTTTTCAATATGATGAGGACACTGAGGCCTAGAGAAGTTAAGTGACTTATCCAAGGAAGCAAGTTAGTAGTAGT